AAAAGGTAAACGACACTCCTATGCTGCTCATTTGTCAAGTTTTGGAGAACGGCAGCCGGTCATGGTATCAGTGGACTTTTGTATCTAGTGGGTGGGGTTTCTTAATCTGATGAAATAAACGTCTATTCTCGAGATCGGTGTAACTCCATTGCAATCATACGTCAATGAACAGAACACGATGAATGAATCAAGGACCAGCAACTTATATTCTGGATTAGATTTGATCTCCACGGTCCAATAAGGTTGTGTTTTAACACCCAAGCTTTTGACACACTTTTTACAATTGTTCTAGGCCGTTCAGATCTCAGTGAAATTATTTTCTCGCCACCTTTGTGTTTTAATGCCACATTGCATTAGCGAAATATACTCATTTGCAAACAAATTTTGTTTTGCGAGAGGCCCAAATGCAACCCAGCTGATGATGTTTTCAAGCAACTGAATGTGCTGCGCTAGTTCGTCTCATGCTTTAGTCGATATGATATTCGAGATACGGCGATACATGGATGGACGTAATACACTACTCACAAGGTTGCTGAAAATTCTTCGACAGCCTACGACCGGTTCCACCCTTCTTAGGCTCATCGTTGCACGAAGTTGGCGAAATACCCACCTGGAATCCAGCTGAATCTCTCATTTATGACGTTTTCAAATAGAACATGAGGTTGACCGAAACTCGGGGAATTAGCCTACCTGATGAGCCACAAGAAGGGCGAAACCAGTCCTGGGCTGTCGAAGAAGTTTCATTAAATTTGTGAGTAATGTTTGCGTCTAAACACATGGGATTGCTTGATGAAATGGAGCAGTGGGAGTGTCCATTTGCCCTTCTACCCGGTGGTAATGAATCACACCAAAACATAGAAGACTGATGAGAGTAGCAGGGTTATGAAGTCAGCTGCGACAGTGGCGTTAGTTATACTAAAAACTGCATGCATAGGACAGCTAAATAAATAATGAAACATGACGGCCGAAAGCCTCAAACCTAGAAGAAGTTCCCAGTCAATGGTCAGACTCAACTCAAGGGAGTGATTCAACTTAAAGTCGTGAAGTAAGGGCAATAGACTAACAACAAGCAAGCCAACAAGAGCTTTTCTCCAGGTCGACTATAGTAAAGGTTAACTCCAGGGCCACATTTCCACCAAATTCTGACAAGTGAGTGATTCATTTTTGCACAGTATATTGGGGTAGCAATACTACTGGCAAATCGAAGCGAAAAAACAACCCAGCGAATCGAACATTCTCTGAGGTTTTACTTTGCATGCTTGAGGCTAGGTGTTGTCACAAGGTCAACCTGGTTCTACCACGCCGCAAGAGCTTGCGCTAACGCTTGCTTTTTGTATAATCCAACCCCGTCGTAGTTGGTTAGGTGACTACTGGTCTGCTCGTGGAACGTGGCAATTCGATTGCAAATGTGTCGTCATCACTCAACGTGACATCGTAAATGCGCACTAATGTTGTTTCTCCAAATGGTGGCCAAACGTTTGCGAGTAGACTGCCTAGCTCGCCGAACAGATCAGTGACCAGCTGACAAACTGTTAGTAGGTGCACTCAGGCTGCCAACATTCCAACATTTTAACGAATGGGACGATGTAATTGGACCCGGTCCTCAAGCTGAATATCACGCACGCACGCACGCACGCACGCACGCACGCACGCACGCACGCACGCACACACACACGCACGCACAACTTGACAGAAATGTGGCTACAGTTGTGGCCTGAAGTGGGCCATCAAAAGCCTTCATCGTTAAAATATAAAACCTCAAGTTTTGTTTAAATCTTTTGAGGCGACCGTCTAACTGATCGTTTTGGTTCAAGGCCACCAATGCTACGTTTAAGCTGTCCTATTGGCCATTTAGTGAAGCGACCACATTCGCCAAGTCCATACTAACGTCAGTTTTCCGGAAACAGTAGCGATGATATGGATCCCAAATTATTATGCCTTTTGGAAGCGGCCTGAAACAACTGCCGGATGAGGGAAGGCAAGACTCAAACTGCAGATGACTGTGTTCATAGATGGCTGTACTGAACTTGTTTGTTGGATTCAACTAACTTCGAAATGGGTTCATAAGCGGAGTTTTGTAAACCTCAGGCTGCTCCATACGCAGTCGTCGATTTGTATCTGATATTTGGTAGGTAGCCGGAACTACTCTAAACCGGGTCTCATATCATGAGGGGTTTCAGATGGCTAAAATGGCGTCTTACTACGTGTCGCGCGTCAAACGCTTAGATTCTCAACAGGACAGGAGACCAGAGGTTCCCAAGACCTATTGATATCAATTCATTAGATCGTTCAAACGTGATGCAAGGTTTTAAGAACTTGACCGAGTATTAAGCAATCCTAGTCAGCAACAAAATGCATTATAATCATCATCATCATCATTGTCAAGTGTAATAACCGCGTACATGTCGTACAGTGGGAGGTGGGTTAGGTAGTTGCGCATTGGAGGCGGGAGCTCATAAATATGTGCATAAATACAGCACTGTCCTTTGGACTGTTAAGTGGGGTATCGGGAAGGGGGCTATGCACTGAAGGCAATAACTTGGACGCACGAGCGCCATTGAGGGCGTGACTAGGCCATGTCTGACAATGTCTCTAGCCATTGATATGGCCCGTCTCGGGTCTCCATCCAGGAAGACGGGGCAATGACCAGCGCAGCTGAGTTTGCCGATAATGGCTTTAATACTTCGCTGCCAAGTCACTGTTTGATCGCCTCTGGCTCTCTTCCACCCTTCATGTGGTTGTGCGAAAAGAGCCCTTCGAGGAAGTCGGTCGACTGACATACGCAGCACGTGCCCAAGCCAGCGCAACCTATGCAGTGTTGTCACTTCATCTATCGAGGGTGAGTTATTGTTCCCGAATACCATTCAACGAACTTCAGAAGTGCTGATTCGGCGTTCCCACCAGATTCGAACAATGATCCGAAGACCTCGATGGTCAAACGCTGAAAGTCTTCTGACGTTCTTGGAGCGTAGCGGCCATGTTTCTGACCCGTATAGTAATATGAAGCGCACCGCAGAATTGTAAACGCGACTCTTGACGGAAAAGCTGATGTCACATATACGTTACAGGTGACGCAGATTCAAAAGAGCTCTCCTGGCCTTCCTAATCCGGATGAAAATATCATCTTTCGCGAGACCACCGGGACTGGTACAGCTGCCCAGCTAAACAAATTTGTCTGCTATCTTAATCGATTCATCCGTGAACTGTTTTTCACAAAGGGAGAAATCTACCTGATGGAGTGGATTTCCGATGGAGGTTTTTACTTTTTTTGTGAACCATAAAAGCCTGGCTTCATTTGATGAAAATATGTGTTGATGATTGTGTTGTAGATTTGGGAAATGGGTTCACTTGTAGAAGATTGATACACAGGAATTCCTAATTAACCGAAAAGCATGTCGTATCCCAACTGAAATTCTGCCCCCACGGATGGACTAAGATGCGTAAAATTGTGTCCAGCAAGCAAGGTTGATTAATCCCGTCAAATTTGTATTCTGCCTGTGTCCACGGATGTACAAACAGTTTCGGCCATTAATTGAATACGCATAGGTCCCCACGAGGCCTGCTCGGGAAATTTCTTCGCAAGTGGATACCGGCCGACTCGAATAAGTTTCCTCGAAGGGCTCTTTTCTCACAACCACTTGCAGGGTGAGAGTGCCAGAGGCGGTCAAACAATGACTTGGCAGCGAAGCGTGAAAGCCACTACCAGCAAACTCAGCTGCGCTGGTCATTGCCCCGTCTTCCTGGATGGAGACCCGAGACGGGCCATTTCAATGTTAAGAGACATTGTCAGACATGGCCTAGTCGCGCC